TAAATTAATAGGAATTAATTTAGAAAATTTAACATTACAAGATTTTTGAATAATTGATCCACGTTTAATAGTATTTCTCGCACAATGAGGATGAGCTATTAAAAAAATAAAATTATATATAGATAATTAATTAATAACTTTAAAAGTGTGATAACTAGTAACTGAATTTAATAATAACTTATGACAAAGTTTTTTTTTAGAGCTATTACTTAATACTATAAACAGTTATTTACTGATTCGTCTGTTTCACCCTAAAATAAATTATATTTTAACTGAAGTTAATAAATTTATAAAGTACAAAATATATTAGAAAGATAAAAATTAAACCTCATATAATCCACTTAAAAGTTGTTGAAGTAAATTAAGGTCAACATTTTCTTTAATACTTATATACTGGTGAAACTTTTCATTGAAATTCCATCTATCACAACCAATAAAATAAGATGGTGGTATTGTTTCATCACGACGCTTTAGACATTTTAATACAGGCCTTCCAATGCATTTTATATTATCCTTTTTATAGCGACATTCAGTTTGAATTGCTGACAAATATATACTAAATAAAAAATTTTAGCCAGTTAAATGCATTAATGCAGTACAAGTTACACAATTTTAAATTAATTTAAAATATATATTTACATAAAAGTATTATTTTCTATATTATTACTTGATAATTCCTCATTCACTTTTAGGCGTAAATCAGAATCAGGATCTACAGACTCGTGTTTTATTTCCTGAAGTTCTGGACTTGCAAATTCACATATTTTAAGTCCATGACATGTTCTATCTTTTTTATTTACGGCAACATTACCAAGATAACTACAGGTTGTCAGATTTTGTCCAGAAGGTTCACCCATAGGATACTGAATCTTAAAAAAAATAAATATTAGTAATAATCATTTAAAATTATATTATTTTATTTAATACTTACATCTGCAAATGTCGCATTTACATCTTGCCACCTTTCAATATGATAAACTATCACAACTCCATCTTTGCTTGTTAGTGGATATTCAATAGGAGTTAATGAATGCAATACAGTTTTAATGGTTATTTGTTTCATAATATATATTTCAGTGTCTTCCTCCAAATCAAGCGTTGTATTATTTAACTAAATCAACCAATATTTTATATTATTTCATATATATTTATAAATTAAACATGATAATAATAAAGTACCTTCATATTTAAGTCTTCTTCATAAATAATATCTTCTTCATTAATAACTATAGATGACATATTTAATTATTGTTTAACGCAAACTCCGAGTTGTTGCAATAAAAGGTATTTGAACGCGTGAGAATTTTTTTCTCTTGCTTATATTATATTTTAATATGTCACATTATGATCTGTGATATTGTATTACCAACTTTATCAAGGGGTATTATATTAATATATTCTTAATATTTTGCGATATGGCATACAGTATTTATTTCACAAATAATATATAATACACTTTTTATTTTTATGTTATACACTACACAGTTGGTCGACCCTACACCACAAGTTTCCGTATTACTTCACGTGAAACTGTTCTGGTGCTGGAATACCCTCACATAGTTGCTTCTCTCTCAATTGCCATTTCTTGATTGCCGGATGAGATACGAAGTGCTGAATTTATGCTTATTCTTGCAATTCCACCTTGTATGACTTTTTTGATTGCTGAGGATGAGACACGAAGTGCTGAGTTAGTGATCTAGATGCGCAATTTCAACTTTTATATTCCTATTTGATTGCTAGATTGAGGCAGGAAGTGCCGGATTGGTTCATGCTATATTGCTTTCATACCTTTTTTTATGTATTCTCCTGAATCTTTCTGCCTTCCCGATTTTTTTTCTGCCTATTAGCAGTGAGCCACTCAAGTGAAATTTCTCTTTTCTTTTCTATATATAATTCTGCTTGAATGGGTTACCATAAACTTGTTTGTTTTTAGCTTTTAGGCCTTGTTCCTGTATAGTTACTACTTTGAAATATTATTGCATCAATTGCTTTGGAGTACTATTTAGTATATTTATTGCATATTCATGCTAGTAATCTGATTAGAGGTCAGAATGGTTTATACTTTTTTATTTCGTTTTTGAGTCATACATATTACATTTTTTATTTTGAACTTTTCAAGTTTTTCTGTTATTTTATACTAGTTTCTTGAATATACTATCATACTACTTACGCAAAAAAATGCTGAGCCTGATCCCAAAAGGATAAATGAAGCAACTAAGCTCTTCTCTAGTTTAGCAGACCTTGATTTTGAGCCTAGCTATAATAATCATATGTATTTTTAATATTTGTCTAATAATAAAAATGATATCTCTCTTTTAGGCACCTATCATCCTAAAGAGATTTATTCAAAATATATAGTTCAGGGGTAGAGAAGGGTTTTACACTAATCGATCATCTATCTGAAGTTTATGAATTATCCGATACCCATAAGTGCATTGATGGGAATTTGCCTCTTCATCTAGTTTTGGATATTGATGTAGGGCAAAAGTCTGATCCCATGAATCCTGAACTCCTTTCTTTAGATAAATATAAAATTACTCGCGAAGTTTTATTATCCAGAATCTTAATTGCCTGCGCCAATATTATATACTTTGACTTAAAATATTTCATAATTAGTCCAGAGTGTTAGCGAAGGACTATATATGTCTACGTGCTGTGTTCCGTTATCTTTCTGCTCCTTATATCATGAGACGGTTACACAGTTACACTAATTTTTAAATAAATTAGGTAAATATCCATCCCAATAAAAGTCATATCTAATATCTAAAATAATCTTTCAAAAAGAAATAAATATAAAAAAAATTTTATTTTATAACAATTTCGTGTTCTTTCTTTTGTCAAATGGATCAATTTATCAATTATTATTATCGTTTAGAATAAATAAAACGAAATATAAACATAAACAATATAAAGTAACCCTTTCATTCATCTGAATTATTTTTTTTGTTATTATTGAAGTGTTGTTGATGTAAATTTATTGTTCATTTTCAAGGTATCATAGAAAGCAGACGCTCTTTCTTTCCTGTAATCTTCTACAATTCTTAATATGTTGAAGTCTGTAATTAATCATTTTTTAATTCCGCCTATGATCACATGTAACTTGTGAGAAACTCCTGACTTAACACGATTTTCGTTTTCCTAGTTTTAAATGCTTTTACCTTAGCCAGTTCGTCTAATACTGATAAATACAGTTGGCATATTGTGTATAAATATGCACATTTTATTGATTATAGGAACTTTAGAGGTTTTGTAGAAAAAGTTGCTAATAGGGTTGGAAAACCATACTCCAAATTCATTGACTTTGGACTTTATAAATCACGCTTCAGTCTTTGGCTCCTTAGATCAGCAAAAGAAGATAGAGTCAAAAGACCTGCAATTTCTTCAATCAAGGAAGGATATTGCAAGTTAAAGATTATTTAATTCAGCCTAAGTTAGAGGCTTCTGAAATCTGACCCCAAACTTTTTCCCTCAAAAATCCAGAAAAAGAGAAGTTCCAACCTATCGAAGATGAAACTGCTTTGAACAAAAGAGCTAATTTGGTTATCGCAAAATATGGATGGTTTGAGGTTGACGACATTAGAAAGGGATTTATTAACTTTCAAGCTCAGTCATTAGAAGCATGTTCCATTTGCAATATCAAACACAAAAAAGATCAGTTATATGGCTTTTTTCAAAGTAACAGCTATTTTGTACTTAAATGTTATCAGCAGAAAAATTATAAACCAGATCATAAGGGATTAGTGTTTGGAAAAGTAACTGAAATTCCTGCAATACCTAAGAGAGGAATAGTCGAAAGAATAGGTGATACTATATCAAATTTACGCCCTCTTGTAGGATTATCAGAAACGATGATTAATGTAAAAAAATTAAAGGATACTCCAAAAGTATATCCCGATTTCTTGGGTATTGAGAAAATGAAAACACTTATTCATTCTCCTCTAGGAACATGAAAAACCACTACATTAAGAGAGATTATTATGGCATTGAAAGATAAAGTATATAATATTTCTTCTTTACCATTCTTTATCTGGATCTTTTACCAAAAATCTCTTAGCAATGAATTAAAAGCAAAACTTGATGATTTAAAAGTATTAGGTTTCTGAATTTGCAACTACCAAAATATGCAAGGAGACCTATCTATAAATGAGTGGGATATTATCATAGTATAGGTTGAGAGTTACTTTTGCGTCGAATTCACAGCCTGTCTGTTTGTAGTTATTCTTGATGAAGCTAATGCCATTATATGCTAAATATCTAGTAGTACAAATGCATGGGAATCTGAAAATGCAATGCGTGATATTTTAAGATTTGTAAGGCATGTTTTGGCCATGAATGCCTTTGCGAATAAATCTACATCAGCATTCCTTAAGGCATATTGTGGTGAAGACATTCATATAGTTGATAATAGATACCAGCCTCGTATAGGCGAGACAGTTGAATTTATTTATGATCTGAATAGCGGAGCTGAAGCCATGCGAATAGGATATGATCTTTTGAAATAGGGCAAACATGTGGCATTTGTATCTACTGAAGCAGTGATGGCTAGAGTGTTAGTAGAAAAAGCATCTAAGTTGTCTAAGCCTGATAATTCATCTGTTAGAGTCTGTGCATATTATGGAAATATGGATGGGAAGTAAAGACAAATAGACTTTTCTAATATTAATGTCACTTGGAATGAGCTTGACCGTATAGCTTATACAAATATAGTGGAGGCAAGAATATCATTCGAGATTACAGATCACTTTGATATAGTAATAGCTATTACAAACATCACCACTCCAGTTCATGTTGAAGCTCTTATACAAATGCTTTACTGAATTCGTGATTGTCCTTGTCATATTGTTTCTATATTTTATAAGAAAAATTCCAATGAACTTTTTCGCCCGCCAGGTCATGAAAATATTCGAGCAGAACTAGCAAATGCTCAGCCTAATAATTTGCCTACATTAATAAAGGGTCACAGTGAATGGGATAGCAACATCATTTCTTATAAAATCGGTAAATCTCCTGCTGTAATAATATTCATTGAAGTTAAGCATCAGAAACGCCTTTCTTCAAGATATTTTATTGAGAATCTTTGCAGTCTTTTAGTCAGTACTGGCGTTTCTCTCCAACTAATAAAAATGGATGAGAGCTGAGGAGTTATAGGAAATCGTAAAAAAGTCCGTAATGAGATTAGGGTTGAAGCATTAATTATCAAGGAAACAGATTTTGATGCAGTTGCTACTTCCCAGAATCTTAATTCTGAAGAAGCTGAAAATCTTAAGTTTGATCAAGAGTGCTCTATTCCAGATACTATGACACTTAAATGTTTCTATATGCAAAATATTTATGGTAAAGATATGGACGATGAAATTTGGGATAATCTTTGCAATAAAAAGTTTGTAAAACATTTCCAACCCGCCCGAATCACAAAAACATTTCTTGCAATTATCTCACTTTCGAAAGCAAGGCTATGATGAGGAGAGTGCAATAAAAGGGTTAGAGGCTAAAGATATTACGCAATGGGAAGATACCCATTATAAAGCTGGATATAATTCTGAGAAATCAGTAGCAGAGGACTTGTACAAATCATATTCAGCTAAGCATTGGAAAGTTATAAGGGAACTCTTTCAAATACTAGGCTTTACCAGCATAGATAATAAGCATATTCTTTCCAGTAATATAGTAACAGAAACATTCACATAATTCTGTGAGAATTTATAAAAGTCCTGGATCAATCCCTATTACTCTTCAGATTCAAGTCTCGTGCTAAGGTAACATCGGATTTTAATTCAGCTATAAGGATAATTAATGCAATTGCTAGAAATTGGTGTGGCTATACTGTAAAGATAAATAGGAAAAAAATAGGATCTAAAGAAAAATGGGTTTGAAAACGTTTATATCAAATTAATCGCCAACTGTATGATGGTCTAGGTTTTGGAGATAAAGGTACATCAGAATTTTCACCATATAGGCCAAAAATAGATAATGATATTCAGGAACTCTTTGACTTTATAAGATAGGAAAAATAATACTTTGGCCAGATTATTATTCAGCTAAGTCTTGACCATATTAGATTTTGTTTTAGTTTTTTTACTTTCGCGTCAAACACAGTCATAAATTCCACCATGTGTGTTATAGATTCCAGTATAGGAATAGGTTCTTATCTTACAGATGAGGCATATTGTTCTAGGAAGGGCATTAAAATATCTGGAACATCCTAATTCACTCATGCATCCTTTCCCACAAATCGAACCATCTCTTTTGATATATTGGCAGATAAAACGACCTATATGAGGTAATTTTAATATTAATATTCTTAAAACTTTGCTTTCACTTTTATTACAGATATTCAAAATTCCTTTAAAGTTACAAATCCTACTCACTCTTTTTGCGACTCTCTAGCTAGTTTTTCTTATAAACAGGTTTGGCATGTATCATAGAAAAGACCAGCCTATTACAAGTTACACACTTTTTTCCAGTGAAGAGCTATAGTGTTTGACACACCCGTTCTTGTGAAAGTATCTTTTTTCACAAATAGACCTATCTTTTTTCTTATACAGACAAGGCCAAGATGGGTAATTAGAATCTATAGAGTCTTCCAAATCAGATATATATTCACCAAAGAGACCTAAAGACATAATACTTCTTTCTGAAAAAGATTTTAAGATTAATATATGCTAAACTTTACTTTATTTTTTATTATATATATATATATTCAAAAATGTGTTATGTATCTTCTATATTTAATGTTGGTCTAGAGCATAAGCTATATCATTTTTTTTGCTTCTTTAATCTAGTCAAGAGCCATCTACAATATTTTTTCCTTCTGAAGAAGTATATTTAAGGGAATTTTTCAAATTGAATTTTTTCTCACATAATATAACTAGATAACAGTTAGTATGAACATAGCTACCAAAATGGCTACCCCAAAGACCTGAAAACTTAAAGCTAATAACTTTGTATTGGTCTTAGAGCAGTTCCTAAAAAGCATAATTTGACAGCTGACTCTACCCCAGAACAATTAAGTGAACATGCTTTCGAACTTGATACTTTACTTTCCGATTGAATGGCCGCAGATATGTTAAGGTTGCACTTACCAGAGGCACTGATAACAGTTACTTATTTAGTAAAGAGCAGATAAAGGCTTTCTTACCAGATAAGAGAAAAGGAAAACTCACCATAGAGGAAAGAGCTAAGACTAGAGATGTTATGGATATTTTCACTAATCATTTAGAGTTAGGTCCAAAAAATGATGAAAACGAAATTATTACCAGTGGCTTATGACAGTTACAATTCCATGTGAAATTAATAGAGGCTGAAAAGGATCCTGAACTTGTTAATACCTTTACCAAAGATAAGGATCTTATCCAAGAATCTAATAAAATCCAGAAAAAGCGAACTAAGAAACGAATAGCTAATCCAGATAGAATTCCCATATATTTTTCCTTAGCAAATGTGAGTAAAAGAATTCAGAACATGGATGTTTCCAAAATTCCTACTAGAGAGGATCTTGCAGATGTGATAGTGATGTTAAGTATGAGACCAAGAGAAGTAAGATTATTTCAAATTAATCACTATGAACTGGATCCTTTAAATATTCTAGCATGGTATAAAGAAGGCTATTCTTGGTACTGTACAGGCTATTTAAAGAGTAGAGGAGAAAAGAAGGAGAATTCTGAGCCCTACCATTTCTTTTCATGGAGAAGAATCCGGAACGTATCAGGGAATTACTCATCTGGATCTGAGATGCAATTAAGGCTAAAAGGTTATATTTCCCATCTATACTAAAAGTGGAATATGTAATGCTTGGCTATTTAATGAATTCTTAAAGCAAGAGCCTTATAGAACTTAATCTGAAAAATTAAGAGATTATAGAGCTAAACACGCTTCCAGAATTTATGGTGGTAAGAAACCAACTCCCCAATATCTTAAACTGCTTTCAAGAATTGCAATGAGACAAGAATCAAATCACCTTGATGCAGGCGATAATTATGCTATAGGCGATACAGAATCAGAGAAGCCTAGTCCTGAATCTGACCACAACTCAGTGGCCAGAATCAAAGACTGTGAAAAAGACGAAATATCTAAAATTATCAATATGTATAGCTATTAAATTTTGCTAGTTTAATTCTACTATACAGTAGTTATTTGATCTATTGTAGTCCGAAGCAGTGATCATTAGCCTCAGAAGATTTTTGGCTGGGCCACAATTCTTAACTTATTTTTTTTGATTGAAATATAATCTAACTATAAAAACAATGTATACTGTTAATTTGCTAGAAATTCTTCTGCCTGAGCTAATATTATTCATTCTAAGGAATTTTAGTATTCAGGATCTTAAAAACTGTTGAAGTATAAATGATATATGGGAAAGAGAGGTAAGTCCTGAATTAACTAAAAGAATGACTCTCATGTATTTTCAAGTTGGAGATTTTGTTCAAGGTAAATATAAGGCAAAGGAATTTTTTTTGAAGCTGAAAGAGTACAATATGAGCATAGGCTATTTCAAAGAACATCTTAAATGGCTATTTCTCAAAGGATTATCATCTGAGAATCAGTTAAAAGTTTGTATGAATGGTTTACAAGTGCTTGGATTATATGACTTAGTGAAAGTTTAATTCGGAATAATGATCTACCAGCTCAGCTAATTTATTTTCGATTAAAAATATGGTAACTATAAAAATAAATCTATTATGAAAATAGATACCCTGCTTCCTAAAGAAAATGATACACTTAATTGGCTGGATTAAACACCTCTTGAAAAAGGTAAAGATAACCAACACCGGTTCAAGATAACCAATTACTAAATGAATTTTTTAAGGCATATAAGGAATATAAGGTATATACTTCATTATCAGGTCCAGACTTACGTAAAGAAGTGATGAAAAAAGGTTTCTTCAAAGGCCTCAATAAAGAGGCAAAGATCAAGTTTGCCTATGAGAAACCTTTAGATCCTTTGAATAGGTTATATGAAATTTAGTTAAATTGGATGTTCCACTTTATTTGAAATTGCAGATACTGACCAGTTAATTTATTTTTTCAATAGAATACTAGCTGATCAAGCAGAATAATAGTACTCTACCGATCTAACTAATCTGGAGCAGTGATTATTAGCTCAGAAGACTTAGTACAGATTTCTGTGTAATGAAGTAATAGCTAATCACCAGATAGGGTTTGTATGATATATTAATTTTCGCATATATCAAAAAAAAGTATTAGCTAATTAATATCACTATCCCTTTTCCCAAACAAATGTGAGAAAATGTGAAAAGAAGTTTATATGCAATACAGGTCCTTTCCTATAAGTAAATAGTGCTAGTAAAAGCATATATTATGAAGGGTTGGAGGACTTGCAATTCTGAGATCGCCAGGCATAAAACCAACTACAGTGAGACCTCTTTAAATGCACACCTTGGGATCATAGTGAAAATTTGAAAAAATGTGTATTTAAGAAGGGTATGATTTAAAGAGAGAAATTTTGTATGATTTTTATATACTTGGGGTTGCGTGGAATGTGTATTTATAAAAAAAATACATATGCGTGTATTTAGGGAAGGTGCATTTAGAGAGGTCTCACTGTATATGTCTCTCCAGTAGATCTCTATGTGAAAAGATATGAGGATTCCGTTTACATGTACTTTCATAGAGCTCTTAGCATCATATGACAAAAGCTAATTACGTCTCATACCTCCTTAACTTTCCCAGCAAAATATAAAGCATGTAAGGGCATGTGAAAATTCAGCCAACTTTCTACAAAAAAACTTTCCCAGTGAAATAATGAAAATAAGGTATATATATGCCCCTTTGGGATCAGTTATAAATGTATGAAAGTGAGTTTTTTCTTACTATAAGTCATGTATTTAGAAAAACAAGATGTCTAACAAGGCTGAGGTTCCTGATAAGTCCAAGACTTCTGACAAGTTTAAAAAGCTTCTTGCTGGTGATATTGTTCTTAACTGTTTAATTTCTGGCGAGAATGTGAATGGTATTTTCTATGTAATAATTTCTAACGCTAATAACAATTGAGTCTCTTTTCTCATAGAGGCAATTAGAAACTGTCATCTAGATCTATTTAAGGATATTGATTCAAGTAGGTTGAAATTATATAAGAATAGAGAAAATGCTAATAGTGTTATAATTTACAACTTAAAAAATGATAATGTGACTATATTGGATGATACAGAATGGATGGACCTAGAAATTGCAATTTATAGTTATTTTAATGGCTGATTCAAGCTTTCATTTCAAGGTGAAAAGAGGATCAATGTTATCATGTATCCTTCTACAGATAATTAAAAATCATTTATTTGTATCATGTAATGGCGCTATAGTCGCAAATTTATATATTATATGTTGACTTCTGGCAACATTTTTTATTTCATAAATAAAGTATTATTATTTTATTGGTATATGAGAAATGGGTCATATGTAATGGTGCAGTCTAGGACTATAAATCTAACATTTTTATCCGAACTAATCTAGCCTATATAAAAAACGTCAGGTGATAAGTGAGAAGAGTCTTCACAGTTAGGGAAACGTAGTGATTAAGCTATTATTACACTTATAATATAATATAGCTGATCGCATAGCAGGTCTCTTGTAAAACAGAATAATTTTTCACATATATTCTGCCTCAGTATTTTTTTCGCAAATAAAATTCTTTTTACTCTTGTTCTCACAAACGCCAGTTTGTATTAATAATATTTCACGAAAAATACTATATAAGCTGAAAACATGTCTATCACTTTACTATGTCTCATCAAATAAAATATGACCACTAGTGCTTTTGCCATAGATATTGATAGGGAAAAGCTAGTTAGTCACCTAAAGAAAGTTATTAAGGTGGAAAAATAAAATGATTTTGCTGGTATTGACGCAGACAGGTTCAAGCTATGGAAGGTGACAATCCTTAGCAATCAGGATGATCAATTAAGAAATCTAATACTCCAGAACAGTGACGAGCTATTGGCAATAAGAAAGATTTTGAAATATTTCCCAGATTCACTTTCTGAAGAATATATCTATGTCATCGTAAAATTGCCACGTAAGTATCTTATACAGTCTGTGCAAAATGCCTTAATGGTTAATTTTCGTCATTAGCTCTTGCATAATTTTAACTCATTCATTTCCAGTTCTCAGCTTGAAAGAAGCATTGTCATGTATTCTACCACTGATAATATATTCTCCAAAATGTACTAAATTGAAGATCATTACAAAAGTTAATGGTGACCCACCGACAAGCGTAAAGCTTTGGGAGACTTTTTTGATAAAGTGAACAGTTTTAGCTTTGATCAATTACCAAGATTCGAAAGACCGCAATTTATCCCAGATAAAGTGGTAACGAATGAGAAAGATGTTCATGTTGCTATTGACATCAATATTTGTTTGGTGTTAAATAGACTTATAGGGTTAAAATATGATTTTTCTAAGCATCCAACTTATACTTCTAGTATACTGGATTTCACTTACTACTATCTCATAAAATCATTGATCTTGGTGATTGAGGCTAAAAGAAAGCATGTTTTAGAAGATATCAAAGATCAAACTTTTCCTGACTTTTACCAAGTGGATGAAAAGGCAAGAATGGTGATCCAATAAATCTACAACTATATAGAAGAAAATGAACTTAGATATGATATTCTTGTCACTTACGATAATCACTGATTTCTACGTTATGAGTATACAGAGCTTTGGATTTTAAAAACCATTCAATTGCAATCAAAATTTCCATCAGTGCTTAAGGCATATGCTTATCTAGCCTGACAAGCAAAGGAGGAATCTCAATCCCTTACTCCTCTTTAAGTTCCAGTACCAGCTTACAGGGATAATAATTCACGTGTTCTTCGATCATAGTCAGAAAACCAATCAGTGAATCAACAAACAACTTCTAGCACATTAGTGTACTAACAATTATTTGCTTTTGATGCTTCCAGTAATATCCCTGTAGATCAGCAAAAGTTTAGCTTTGCAGACTTCAAGTTTAAGGGTATACTAGGTGAAGGATGCAGTGGTAAAATGCTCCTATGTGAGTTTCATGGTAAGACTATTGCCTTGAAGAGCATTGATTTATCAAAAGCCCTACCACTATATGTCATAGAAGAAATGCAAAAAAAAGTCAAGTTTTATAAAGATCTAGCTAATATTCAAGGTAAGTATATCCCAAAACTGATCTGTTATGGATATTATGGAGGAGATATGAGTTTTGTTATAGGTATGACTATTGTCAGCACTTCGTTGAGCGAGCAAAAAATAAAGAAATGGCATAAGACAAGGCTATTAAGGGATTAGAAGTGATCCACAAGTATGACATCCCCCATAATGATATTTGGAAGGAAAACATCTTAATTAATGACAACAGCGACATCTACCTGATTGACTTCGGGATGGCAAGTCAGGAAGACACAAAAAAGAAGAGAAAACTTTTTGAGAAGGAACAGCAGGATCCTGAACTATACTAATAAAACTCGCAAATGTAGTATAAACACCCAATTAAAATTATATTTTATGGTATAATTCGTTTATTATTAATGCTATAAAGATGAAATTACTACCATTAGATTTCTTTCAGTTAGACGAATTTAATGGTATAAATATCATTAAATTGAATCACTAGTTATTAAGATAATTAGGTATGTAGAATAAGTTAATTTGTAAAAATAAGCAATTTTTGGCAAAATTACATATAAACTCTACACAAACTCAAATGTGAGTTATATTAGTATAGTTCAGGGTCCTGAAATAGCTCAAATACTCTAACTTGCTAGATAGATATAATACGTAAGAATTTATTATTATCAAATTCCTGTATTACGATTTTTTGTAACTCTAGTTTCTTTTCATTAATAAAACAGTCATTTCGTAAAGAATGCGGAGCGAATTTCCAAGTCACGTAAATGTCAGGTGATTAATTAGACTGTAAGATTATACATTAATCATTAGCATAGACGTCATGTATTCTAGGTTACATCCTGAACCTTTGTATTTATTTTCGCATGTATTAATAAAAAAATTTTCTTGGCAAAAGTGATAGGCGTGAGCAATTGTTCACGCATACGTGATTTTTTTTTATTTTGAATACTTATATGTGGTATATTAGTTATAGATCATATTATTAGAGCTTGAATTATTAAGACAGCACATTAGCGAGTTAGAAGCTAAGAACGCCAAGCTTGAGACTGAGAAAGCTAAAATTGAGGCCAGGAATGTTGAACTTCTAAAGCAGGTTATGGAGAAAAATGTCAAGCGTGATGTTAAGAATACTAAACTCAAGTTTAAAATCGGGGAGCTTGAGGCCAGACTCGTAATATTGAAACAGGGTGTTACTGAAGTAAATAGGCAAGCACAGAATGATAAGAAAGTGATAGCAGAGCTATCAGCTGTTGATACAGCTGACTTCGTAATAGACCAGCAAAATTATATCAATACTAAGTCAATAGAAGATAAGAAAATAGGTGATTTTATTTTTGAAGAATCTGCCAATATATTTGACTCATTTATAGCTTAGCCAAAACAGTATAAACTTCCGCAAATCGAAGAGGTGACCACTAAAGTGAACCATCAAGGAAAATCATTAAAGGATAGAAAAATGGATGCTTTCTTGGATGAAGTGCATAAGAAAAAGGTTAGTAATGATATTAAGCAGAGAAAGTGGGAAAAAAAGCTTCAGGGTGAATTGATTGTCTAGGAATCATCCCCAGCAATTAACATCAGTTATATAACAGACCTCTCTACAACTAGCACTGAACTTGTAACTCTTCCAGAACAGGTAGTTAAAGAATCAATTCTAAAGGAAATATCTGCAGAGTCAGTGATGTCCTGTGAGTCTTCTGGAAACAAGCAGGATACTCTGCCCAAAAAAATTCCCTATAATCAGAAAGTAGAATAAGATTTAATATGCGAATTACTTGAATTTATTAGATGTTATAATTTCACGTCCTTACTGAATTCTATATCTAGTAAACATATTTCAGATGTTCCAGTCGATGCTGACCTAACTCTAGGTTTTGTACTTCATTTAGCTTATTTATTCGACAAGGCTGAAAAGACCAGTCAGAAAGAAAAATTACGATAGTATTACTATAGTAAGGAATATGAAAAAAAGGTTGTAACCCTTAACTCCAAAAATAATATTAGCGATCAAATGGTAAGAATGCAGATTTATGATAAAATGAAGCTGTATCTCCCTGGTAAAAAGAGAGTGTATTTGCGTAAAATGATATAAAAGGCTAAAAACATCTATATGTTGTTCAAAGGAATAGAAATAGATAAAATTGGAGTAGTTACATCTAGCGCTGATGCGATCTCTAGGCTAACTGATACATAAATCCAGAATATAATAAATCTTTATACTGATGAACTAATTAAATCTCAAAAATTGATCAGCGTGAACAATTGTTCACGTACACATGACCTACCAGCTGAATCGAACAAGTCTGGATCGAAAAAATTACCAGATGTCAGGATACTTACATCAAAAACCAATCAGATAAATATATGAGTCCAATCTAAACCAACTTATGATCAATCCTATTTTCGTAGCAAAACATTGGATCAATATTCCAACTTATATAGAGAATATAGTAGTGAAGACTTTGATTATTATGGCATTACTGATAAGACATTATGCCCATTATGCAAGTTAGATCATGATGATGAGGAAAGCATAGAAGGTAGATATAAAATCAGATCCTATTTTATTAAGTGTGAATAGTGTGAAATTGAGATAACTGCATAGTTTCAATATTTTACAATACTGTATATTTGCATTTCTTTTGAGAAACCATTTTTTTTACAGAGCTAATCTATATCGACTATACTTACTATAAATTAAATTGATTTGCAATCATATAAAAAGACAATATGACCAAGTCTGATAAAGTATTAACCCCCAAATATCTAGATTGGCATGCTAAATTAAATGGGTTACCAAGCGTTTTGACAGATAAAATTCGCTTCAAATTATATAAAATATATAAGAAAGAAACTGGAAATGAGCCATGGCAATTACCAAAAGCTGTGATAAATATGTCAGCAGAACCTCAAGCCTCTAATTTCAAGCCTATCACTTTCGAAGCCAGACCCAATCCAGAATTAATTATCAAATCCGTCTTAGAGCATTTCACATACTTAAAATTCAGAAATATTTTCAGAGGAATTGATAATTATAATTTTACATCACCTCAACTGTGAAGCTCATCATATCATATTTGTGATGGAAAACATGGGAATTATGGGTTACATGGTGAATGGTATGGAACAGAATATTGTCATACTTACTTCATTTCAAGTAATAAATAAAAGTTCACAGTTGTAGCATAAGCGTCATGTGACGTGAATAACCAAAACCATGATTGATCGACCATTTTCAATCATGAAGCCTTTGTATGACAAGCAAAAAAATGATAAAAGATAATCTTAAAGGAAAATGGGTGAGAAAGTTGATAAGAGAATTCATAGAACACTTCAGGTATTTTATTCTTTACACTATTTCGAAATTATAGGAATGGCCAACGAAAAATTTTTTATTTAGAAATCATCAAATTTATACTCTGTTTGGTATCGAGAAGAAACTAGTAGAACCACCCTTCTGTCGGCTAATTCCAATAATAACAGTATAGGATGCAGTAGCCCTACTTTGGACGATCTATATAATGAGAATAGAGACATTTATAGAGTCTATCAAGGAAATGAAGCTTCAAGACCAGAAAAAAATATCTTACCAGATTGCAAATTATTTTGGCAAGCAAAATTATGAAAATGGATACGAATGCGTTGGGTCATCCAACAACGGTAAATGTAACGGCATCAATGAAAGAAGGGAAGATTGTGAAATTTATATTCAGGGTATCAGTTCGAGGTGGAATAGTGACAGAAACAATAACGAAAGAAACACTGTACAAGAACAACAAATTAATAGCAATATCGAGGGTGAGAAATATTCTGACATTACAATGGTATAATTCGAATGTTGTCCTAACAGAAGAAGAATTGGAATTTTGCAATTATCCCTGAAGAAACTGCGCTGAATCGGTGTGTTGGCTGGCAATACATGAACGAAAGAAAAGCTGAAAACACTGTGTCATTTTGTGGTCCCAAACATACAATATAAAGAGGAAAAAATTCTGGAAACCATGTCCCATGTGTCAATAGGTGAAAAGCAGGATGTGAAAGGTCGCAATAATCTGTTAATGATAGTTAAAATGATCGCAAATAAATCAGATCGTAAGCGTGTTGCAAAATTTCTTAACTGTTATATCGAAAGTGAAGATCCTACTACTTATAAATGTTACTTGAAAGATGTTAAAGCATATGGTTTTGATCATATCATTCTTATTGGAGAATGTTATGCTGGAATTCTTTTTCTGGATTGCTACAGACGTGTGTTCGAATGGGAAGACTCAATGAGTGTTTTATGGTCACTTGGAGATAATTTGAGTATGGCAGAAAAGAAATCTCTGACTAGACGTGTAATATGGGGTGAAGAGTATGATAGAACTGTTACAAAATTTGAGAACGCTATGGATAGTATGCTAAGATTTCGTTTTTTCCTTTTTTTGTCTTAATTTTTATAATTGGTTCTTTTCTCCTAGATTTACCAAATGAACCAACCTTTGACAAATCTGCCACAAAAACAATGGATGTTTATCTTATTGTAAAGAAGAAAAGAATTCGAAAAAAAAGAACTCAAAAAAGAAACAACATTGATCTGATTATATTGTGTTTTAATCAAGTGAAATTTGATTTATAGTATTATTTGCATGAATAATGATTATGAAATACACATAGCATAGGACAAATTTACTATATTAATATATTTTATGTAATCTGCAGGCATAAATAATTTTTACATGACATTAATGCTTCATACCCAAATACCATTTCTATTATATAATTCAAGTTTGTCACCTTCTAATGAGATCCTGAATAAAAATCATATGATGAATTTTTCGTCTACTGTACCTGAAAATTTTTATCATTCTACATCAGTCTTAGTGTATTGTGTTAAAGGATAATGTTTCCCAATAGTCATATGCACAGCGTCTTTGGCAGATAAATTTAACCTGACACTAATCCTATGCTTACATCAGAAAAAATACAAGTTTTGGGAGATAAATTTAACCGGATGTTGATCCTGGTTCTGCACGAGCTCGGACAAGCTTGTCCAGACTCTACCATCAGAAAAAATAATATTTTTTTGCACATGCATTTTATTCGTAATCATTTTCCCGAATTCTATTAAATCAAAGGCTATCCGGCTAAAGAAAAAATCTGAAATCTGATTGGCCAATCATCTCGTGATTTATAGAAACTCGCCAGTACCTGAAACTCTCCTAGAACTATCGTGGGAGCTGATACATGTGTTATGATATACGTCATGCGAGGCTAATTCCTGTTAATCATGAGAGATCCAGCTAAAGTATTTATATAAAATTAGCATAGCCGAGATATGGCCCTATATAAATCCCCGATATGCTTGTAATCGAATAAAAATGAATCTGATATTTATTATAGTATACTTGTTACAAACTGCTACAAATCACTAAAAATAATATAAATAGTTAAATAGCTAAAATCAATAAATATGGTATATTCTGACCCCTTTGTACATTTAAGTATAACTGATTCGCATGTTAACTATGATCTTTATAGAATGCGTGGGAATGAGATTCCATTAGATTGAAAGAATCGAATTTGGGACACATTAATGGTAATATAGAAAAAATCATCTTTTAACTGATTATAATAAGAGATATCTTAATGCAAGGAAAACAAACATATTTATTATATCAGTGTAAATATAGAAATATGCTATTCTTGTAATCAGCTCGTCTATTTCAAATTAGGTAGTGGGTATGAGTATTTCCATGCATTCTTTATGGATAAGCATTAGCGTACAAATTGTACTGGAAATGAATATTATGATATGAGTTTCAAAGACTACATGAAGCTGAAAAATAATCCTCCACCTTGCTATTTCACAAAGAAGGCAATCCATCGATATGAGATGTAGTTGAAAAATGTATCAAATAGGATTAGATGTATTAGGCAAAAGCATAAGGTGCAAAGTAATGTAAATACTACGCCTAGCAAGCCTTACTATATTTATAATCAGCAAAAAAATATCTGTATGAACAATACAGTCAACCTTTGATATAACGAATTTTATGTCCTGAACTTCAACTTCGCTATAGAGCTATAGTGAATTTTTTAAAGAATTTGATTGGCTAGTTCATTATAACGAGGGTAAATTTAATATAGTTGTCCAAAAAATTCGTTATATAAAAATTCGCTATAGAGAGGTATGACTGTACTTTCTTAACTCCTTTTCCGAAAAAGCCTGTCCAATATCAGAGTTATTATTCCTAATGGGAATCTTGGATGGATAAGCCACGTTTATTAACCCCTCCTCTTTTGCTATCAAAGCCTGTTGCATTAATAGGCGGTCTTGAGAGATACCCTATGCGACGTAATGCAAGTATACCTGAAATTTCGGCCTATAGATTTGAGAGAAACCGTGTCTTGATTAATGCTGAAGAATATTTTAATTCTATTCGAAATAATGCAAATAAGAAAGTTAAAGTTAATATTTCTCAACTGATAATAACATTATTTATCTCAACTATATTTAGCTAAAGGCGTGATACATAACTTTTACTTATTTTTTTTGGCTATATAATCTGCATACATGATCGCCTATGTAGTATAATTGTGAATGTATCACCTGCGGGCCAAAGACACTATGCATGATCTGCCTATTTTGGGTTAGATCCTCTAATCTATAACAAAGTATTTTTCAAGAAGTTTAGAAAGGTCAATGAAGAGATCTTGAAAATTCTTGATTCCTAAATACTACTATCATTATGGCTTTGAAAATTTCTATGTAATAGTTATCCAACGAGCTTATAGGAATTACAAAAAGAGACCTGAATCTTCGGCAAAACAAGTTTAGGAGGGGTGAGAAATGATGGTACTCCTGATAGAAAGAAATTCTTAGGTATACTTAGAAAATAACAGATGGTTATTAATCCTAAGACACAAAAAGAGTATTCTATAGCTTACAATGAGTTTTATGCTTTATTTAGAACAAGTTACTCAAAATATATTGGAATAATTAATCCAGTCAAATTAACCTTACCATATGAGAAGTATATTTATTATTCTTCTAGTAGATGAATAGAAGTTAAGAAATATCAGTTAAGATGACGATTAAATAATATAGCATATGAGAGTATTGAATTCTCGCAAAGGTTTCTGTTTGAATTGCTATCTACTATTGACTATTATAAAAAGTACTTAAAAAATCGATAATATCTTTTTACTACCCAATTTAGGATTACACTATTTTTTACTTTTACTCTGCCACATAAATTAGCACGTTTTTAATTCTCGTTACAGTATATATGATGTAATAAGTAATACTTCATAAATCATTTGTGAAACTATGCTTGTGCGATGAAATAATTTCACACATAAATTGTTTTTCCAAAATATTTCAAATTTTTTCTTACAACATTTAGCGAAATAGCATAGCATTTATTAATATGTATATTTGCTCTGGTATGACAGGACTTTTCTATTATATTTTAAGTAGAATAATATCTATATAATGTTGCTGGGTCTTAGTATTAAGCGGTCAGATGAAAAAAAGTTCTTATATGCATTGTCCCTAACACCTTTAAAAATGTCAAGATCTTTAATGTACATTTCACATGCCTTTATTCTCTAACACGAAAGTTTGGCGTAAAGTGTCTCGCATAATTCTCTTATCTCTTTTTCCCAACATGAATGTAAATTAGAGAAGTGTAAATAGAGACATTTAAAAGGAAAGTATATTAGAGTTATGAGTATTTTTACGCCTCGTAAATTCTTTTATTTTAGCCATGCCTACCGATTTATATACTAAAATTTATAATTTTTTGTCAAGTGCTGAAGAAGAGAATATTACTACTGGATCTGTTATTTACCAAGAAATCAAAAAAATCCCTGAATAACTCAAAACGAGCTGAAAAGTATTATTGAATGGGCTGTAGCATTTGTGAAAAATTAATATGAATGAGGTTCTTTACATCATACCACTCTTCTCAAAATTTTACCAAAGGTAAGATATCAAAGCTTTGAGTAAATAAAGGATTTATTTGAGTAATGAGTAACACAAACAGTGATACTATTCTGAGGGAGAAAGCATAATAGACTAAATATCCTATTAGCCTATTCACAGGATTTTTCCTTGGTAGTGTAAAGGGTAGTTAGGCTATAGCTATATGCTTAATTCAATATGGTTATTTCAGTATCACATAAAGTCTTTATTTGAGTATTGGAGTAGCTAATCATGCGAGAATAGGATTTTATTTTAATCTAACAACACATGCACTTTTGATAATTTTTAAACATATATGCTAGGCTAATTAATTATATGTTTGCGTTAGTTCAAAATTGGCTTTAAAATAGTCTGTAGTTTACATAATATCAATGCGGTAAAAATGAACGGAGAAAGGCCTCTTACTTCAGATAAAATCAAAAAAAATATCAAGGCACTGAAGGGTAAACTCAGAAAAAATATATCACAGCTTTACCAGCATTTATTTTTAGATGTAAATGAAGTATCTATTTCTGACTTAACTTGGAAAGATCCTCTAACCAACCAAGTAATTAGCAATGATTCAGATCTGATACAGAAATTACTAGAATGGCTAAGGGAATCTTTTATGGTAAAATTCTTTTTTATATACAGTCACATGTTTTATTGATCTAACGCTAGACATCATTTTAATTTATCATTATACTATTGTTATAGGCAGTTCTTTAGGGTCGCTTTAAAGGTTAAAAGCGTGGTAAGGTAAGCAGAAGGTATAAGTTTATAAGTTAATGTAGATTGAGTCAAAAAGGTCGATCGTTTATTCAATATGTCTTAACAAATGAGTACTGCCTCTGTCAGCGCTCTGTACTGTGCAAATGTTTTATATTAAATCAAACTATCTAAGAAGGTACTCTGACTATTCTAAACTTACTTC